AGTGTCTGTGTGGGAGTAGGGCGATGATGGACATCTGTTTCATTTATTCACTCTGACACAGATTCATTGGCGACCGCTTTATGCCGGACGCTGAGGATAAAGCAGTGAGCAACACCCTCTCTGATGCCTGTCTGGCCTCTAGCTCCTCCAACCCCAGCCGAGCAGATCAGTACCTGCCTTCCTTTACCTGCCCCCTACCTCTTGGAGTGAAAGGCACTGAAAACCTTCCTGTGGACTTCAGCTCTAACCTCGCTCTTGCCTTTCAGCAGTTGTCCAACTACTTCCCTGCCTTCATCACCTCCTGCTCACTACATCTGTCTATCAAACCAGTCCAGCATCCCCTTAGTTTAAGCCTCCCCATCAGCGCTAGGACGTAATGTACACAGTGCTTTACTGTTGGTGAAGGGCTTCTGTGTTCCTCGTATTGTAGAACCCTCACCTCAACTCTGAGATCAGTGGGAATTATGCCCTTCATTTAACAAATTCAGAAACAAAACGCTTAGACCAGGATACCAGCATCCTGGCTCCTCACATTCTCTACATTTTAACTTAAAATAATGGATTATTTTATGTATTACTTATAGCTCACCTGGGCTTCCCAGGTGGCCCTAGTGGTTAAGAACCCTCCTGCCAATGCAGGAGATGTAAGAGACTCAGGTTCGATCCCTGGGTCAGGAAAACACACTGGAGGAGAAAATGGCAACCCACTCTGGTATTCTTGCTTGGGAAATCCCATGGACAGAGGAGGCTGGCAAGCCCCAGTCCATGGGGTTGCAAAGAGTTGGAAACGACTGAAGTGACTTAGCACACATGCATACCTCACCTACTTCCATAAAAGATGTGACTGTTATATTATTTGCCTCTAATAGGAGATATTTTATTTTCTGGGTCTTTTAGATATTGACAAGCAGAGTTTTGGAAGTACACAGTGGCAATTATCCCTGCCCTATGCTTATTCCCAAGTCCAAAGTCTGGCCTAAAATAACCCCTCTTTCTCACAAGGAGCTCCCTGAGCCAACTCCTCACTTTTTCCCTAAATGTTTGTTTATTTTATTTATTTGGCTGTGCCAGGCCTTAGTTGCAACATGTGGGATCTTTAGTTGCAGCATGTGCAATCTAGTTCCCTGACCAGGGATCGGACCCGGGCCCACTGCTTTGGGAGCACAGTCTTAGCCACTGGCCCACCGGAGCAGTCCCTCTTCCCCTTTCTTAAATGAGCTCCTAGAACCTGATCTTCTGTCCTGGGCATTTAGCTCTATTACCATCATGTATCATCATGCTATCATTTTATTATCACTGTTTATTACTAACCCATCACGCTGAAGCTGTACAATGGCACAGCTGTCCTCCCCACTAACCATTAACATCTCTTATGCCCCAGGGCCTCCCACTAGAGTCGGCAACACAATAATGACCTAAATTCTCCTGGTTCAGTTCTTCCTAAAAATCATTCATGATCCCCTCTTTATTGACAACCCTGCAAAATAAAAAATCATTTATTCTCCAAGGTTTCCCAGAGTGTCCACATCCACATCCATGCTGTGCTCTGTATTTCTTTGCCTGTCCCTTCCACATGCACATAACCCCCTAAAAGGCAAATGGTCTAATCCAACGGCTAAGCCCTCAGCAGAGCATAGTTCCACACTCTGAAAGTTGCTTAGTAAAATGTTTTTGATCCGGGTAGTCAGTTGACGGTGGTAAAAGTAAAAGCCATTAAGACTGTGATTAATGAAGATACTTATATGCAAGTTTCCCCAAGCACCAGTGAGAGGATGTGTAATTCCATTACCAATACTCAATCTTTCACTCTTGGGGGATTTCCTCACTAATTAGTCTGAAGTTGTAATTTAGCCTATACTTTAAGGAATGTGTCACACGAGGACACTTCTAATTTATTTCTGACCTTCCTTGAATTCAGAGGCACATATGCCTTTGACCAGCATTTCTCTCAACTGCTATTTTCTTGCTACAAAAAAAGTAATAATTGTCCCATACTTGAGAAAGGGAGACCAGCTCAGAGTGTGTACCCTGGCACTCAGCCTGTTTTGTCCAGCCCTCTTGCTGTTCCTTCAAGCCTGCCATCTAATAACCAGGCAGAATGAGACTTGTACTAGATTACAGGATCTTTGAGATGAAAGAAGAAATGTAAGCAGAAGTGAAGTGCTGGGTGGAAATTTTAAAAGCCAATACACAATCTGCTATATTCCTTCTTCCTTCTGCCATGTCAAGGAGAAAGTTCCAGATAGTGGCTTCTCCATCAGTCTGGGTCCCCAAGGAAAGACAACAAATCCCCCAGCTTTACTGAGATGGATGTGGAGAGTAAGCAAGAACCATACCTGTGGTTTTAAGTCACTAAGATCTGGGGCGCTGTTTGTTGCTGAAGCATAACCTAGCCCATCCTGACTGCTACAATTACCCCAAATTAAGGAACTCCCACCACAGACTTCAACAAGTTATATATTGCTATTGCCCCCTGAATTTCCTCCTGGAAGCCTACCTCTTCAGTTGACCTCAGTGAGCAGCCTTTTTCATCCCTATAGATTCTACAGCTCCTTAGCACCAGAATCCTCCTCCAAAAATGTTCTACTCATGACAGTCCACTCCTGGAAAAAGCCACTCCACTCCTTCTCTTCCAGAAGTCCAGCAAAAGCCTCCACAGGGTTTGATGGAAAGGTGTATAATCCATCACACATCCTACATTGTTCCTTCCTCCTAGCTCCCAGCCCTGAAGAGTCCAGGGCCCGGCAGGGCCCCCCCAGCCACGCAGGGAACAGGAGTCACCCAGTTGCCATGTCCTGACAGCTTGTCACATTATTTTGCCCTGTGGGAGCTCTGATCCCTCCATCCAATCTCTCCATAGACCATGGGCCTCTATACAAGTCCCTGCAGGCAAAGCAAAGCAAGATTGATGCCCTGCAAACGGCCGGCCGTGCCCGGGAGGGCTCTGGGTTCAATGCACGGAGCGGCCCATTCTTCCCCATCTCAAGTTCCCACACTGGACGCCAAAGCTGGAGCTCAGAGCCAGGGCAGCAAGAATTCAACCCTTATTCATCCTGGAACACAAACGAGCCACCACACTCCCCTAACCACGAGCCCCCTCCCCTCCCCTCCTCAAGGTCACTCTGAAGGCCCTGGGCCTTCTTGAGCTAACCAGTGAGGCACAGTACCCTTTGCACAGAGGAGCTGGGATCAAGAGAGGATTCTGAAAGGTTGGGGAAGAAATATACTCGTTTACACACTGGTTGCAGGGCATCATCTCTTAATCCTACTCCCTCCACTGTTCTTCTTTCTCCTCTGGGCTCAGTCGTGTCCAGCTCTGCGACCCCATGGACTGTAGCCCGCCAGGCTCCTCTGCCCGTGCGATTCTTCAGGCAAGAATACTGGAGTGGGTTGCCATGCCCTCCTCCAGGGGATCTTCCCAACCCAGGGATCCATCCTCTCTCTCCTTTCTTGTGTCTGCTGCATTGCAGGTGGATTCTTTACCACTGAGTTATGGGGGAAGCCCTTCTTTCCCCACTAGTCCCTGTTAAAGCAAACTGTGTCTGAGCCCTGAGACTGAGTTAGGCTGATAAAGAACCACAAATTAGCATTAATGCCCCTGGTCATATGCATCCCAGTTCCTGCAGTTAAAAGCCACCAATGGGTTTAGACCTAAGAGCAGAGTGCTGGGGACCGTCAAGCAGTACATGTAAGAATGACTTCATCTAAATTCCCTGAGAGATTTCATAGACCAAAGCACCTCTGAAGGACAAAAAGACAACTGTAAAATTACCTGAAAATAAATGCTTCTAAAGTGTTCAGAAAGAACCCAGGGTGAGGGGGACAAGGGGCCGATAAACTAATCCATCAGCTCATTTTTTTTTTTTTTTTTGATCCCACCTCTAGACTTTTTTTTTTTCCCAAGGCCTCAGCCTGTCACCATGCAGTTTATCAGCTGTCACTCCATCTCGATTCTGGGTGACATGAGATCAATGGCCTAAAACTGCTCTCAGATCTGCAGAGAAATTTATAACACCAGGCTCTGCCATATCCTGTCTGGGCCTGGGTCCCAGGGCTCTGAGGGAGAGGCCGACTTCATTTCCATTTCAAAAGTGGATTGTGACCCACTTGGGGCTGGAGAGTTCAAGCCATCAGATGCAAAGGAAGGCCTGAGTCAGAAGTCTTGCACACTTACACTCACCAAACAATGACTTTGAGGAAGGGAAAAAGAAAAAAAGACTAGTCAATGATTAAAATTCTCTCTGCCTGGATAAGGCTGTAGCTTCCTGCTTAATTTCTTTGGGGATTTATTAATACCAAAAGCTAAAATTTGCAGCAACATGTTTTAGACTCCGAAAGCAATTAGTTCATCCCATTTATCTAACTGCAGAATTCTTGTGCATGATTTGAGCAGAGATTTATGGGGGTTTTGCTTCTCATGGAAGGTTCCTTTGGTTTTCTATAACTTTTCTTTTCCATCATAAACTGTAATTGGTTTTAATTTGGTCTCAAAGTGGCCAGGCTTCCCTCTCAGATGATAAAGAATCCATCTGCAATGCAAGAGACCTGAGTTGGGAAGATCCCCTGGAGAAAGAAATGGCAACCCACTCCAGTATTCTTGCCTGGAGAATCCCATGGGCAGAGGAGCCTGGTGGGCTACAGTCCATGGGGTTGCAAAGAGTCAGAAACAACTGAGCGGCCAACTGGGCACTTTACAAAGTGCCCATGGACCAGAAACAAGATCCCAGGAGCCCAAGTCATAAAACATAACCCACACTTTCTAACCAAAGGGTTCCAGGGGTGGGGGGGGATTTTATTTTGGCCATGCCGAATGACATGCAGGACCTTAGTTCCCCAACCCATGGGTGTGATTGAACCCATGGGCCCTGCACTGGGAGCTCTGGCTCAGAGTTAACCACTGGACCTTCAGGGAAGTCCCTCCATGGGAATTCCAAATGCCTCCCCCCATAGGAAATCCTGGGGTGATAAGAGGGAGGCCAGCTCTCTTCCCTCAACCTCACCCCAAGATGTGGCCAGCTCTGGAACCGCTCCATGCCCACCACCATTTGGATGGACAGACGCCCAACAGAAGTCACGCTGAGGGGACTCTGGACTTGCCGCGGGCTAAACCCAGAGAAACCTCAGCTTTCTGAGCAAAAAGAAAACCCTCCGTCTCACTGCTATCCACCGCCTCCCGCTTGCAATCAGACATCCAAGAGGAGGTCCCCGGAGGAACTGTATCCTGCAGAGGACGGGTCATGGCTGGAGCTTCACCAACCAGCTCCTCCCACACCGCTGACCTTGGCAACCCCTGACTCGTAGAGAAGGCAGCCCTGAACCATCAGGAGTCACAGTCGTCTGGCTGAATGCACACAGCAGGTGCCAACTCAGCCCACGCCTCCCTGTGCTGAGTCTCAGGGGAATCCACCAGAACATGCTCCCCAGTCCACAAGGACAACCTGAGACAGTGGCCCTCCACCATCGTCCCAGACCAAAGTCCGCCAGAATAGGCTTATTGCTCCCTTCCCTGCTTCTCCTTCCCTCTCCATTTACTCTAGTGACCCCACTGATCTCAGGGGTGGCATCTTTCAACAGCCCCCCTGTTGCCTTAAGAATAAAAGTGACATTCCTTAACGTGGCACGTGAAGCCCCTGCTCACCGGTCCTGACTTTCTTCACCCCTCTGCTGCACCCCAGCCCCTCATGCCCCCTGCACTCCAGCCCTCCGACCTTCGTGCCTCTGAGCTTGTTGTTCCTTCAGCAAGAAGTCTCATTCACCTCCACCCTTCTTCCTCCCTTTCTACCCTTTAGCTAATTTCTACTTATCCTTCAATACTCGGCTTAAATGTCACCTCCTCCAGGAAGCTTTCCCTGAGTGCCTCCAGTTCCCAGTGCAGTAAAGCCCCGCCCCCTTCCCCTGGGCTCATCCTGCAGGAAGTGGGCGCCTGCATGTGACCATGTATTCCACCCTGAAAGGACTGTGTGCAGCACCTGGGGTCAGCAGCTGCACTTCTCACCCCCATTCTGTCTCCTCCCTCTTCTCTCTCCCTGCCTCTGGACTGGGCAGCAGTTTCTATCATTTCTTTTGTTCTTTCTCTAAATAACCTTTATATTAAAAGCATTTTGATTACATGATAATGGTTATGATATTACAGAGAGTTCCCCTAAACTCCACACCCAGGTTCCCCTGTTATTAACATCTTACATTAGTATGGTACAATGGTCACAACCAGTGAACCATATCGATACATTGTTATTATCTGAAGTCCATCATTGATTCACACTTCCTTTGTCTTTCCCTAATAGCAAACACCCTCTTCCAACAACACAAGAGAAGACTCTACACGTGTGCATCACGAGATGGTCAACACCGAAATCAGATTGATTATATTCTTAGGAGCCAAAGATGGAGAAGCTCTGTACAGTCAGCAAAAACAAGACCGGGAGCTGCCTGTGGCTCAGATCATGAACTCCTTATTGCCAAATTCACACTTAAATTGAAGAAAGTATGGAAAACCATGAGACCATTCAGGTATGACCTAAATCAAATCCCTTATGACTATACAGTGGAAGTGAGAAATAGATTTAAGGGACTAGATCTGACAGACAGAGTATCTGATGAACTATGGACAGAGGTTCGTGACATTGTACAGGAGACAGGGATCAAGACCATCCCCATGGAAAAGAAAGCAAAAAGGCAAAATGATTGCCTGAGGAGGCCTTACAAATAGCTGTGAAAAGAAGAGAAGTGAAAAGCAAAGGAGAAAAGAGAAGATATTCCCATTTGAATGCAGAGTTCCAAAGAATAGCAAGGAGCGATAAGAAAGCCTTCCTCAGTGATCAATGCAAAGAAATAGAGGAAAACAACAGAATGGGAAAGACTAGAGATCTCTTCAAGAAAATTAGAGATACCAAGGGAATATTTCATGCAAGGATGGATTCGATAAAGGACAGAAATGGTATGGACCTAACAGAAGCAGAAGATATTAAGAAGAGGTGGCAAGAATACACAGAAAGTGAAAGTGAAGTCGTTCAGTCGTGTCCGACTCTTTGTGACCCCATGGACTGTAGCCCACCAGGCTTCTCTGTCCATGGGATTCTCCAGGCAAGAATATTGGAGTGGGTTGCCAGTTCCTTCTCCAGGGGATCTTCCCGACCCAGGTATCGAACCCAGGACTCCCACATTGCAGGCAGACGCTTTAACCTCTGAGCCACCAGGAAAGGACTGTACAAAAAAGATCTTCACGGCCCAGATAAGCATGATGGTGTGATCGCTCACCTAGAGCCAGACATCCTGGAATGTGAAGTCAGGTGGGCCTTAGAAAGCATCACTACGAACAAAGCTAGTGGAGGTGATGGAATTCTAGTTGAGCTATTTTAAATCCTGAAAGATGATGCTGTGAAAGTGCTGCAGTCAATATGCCAGCAAATTTGGAAAACTCAGCAGTGGCCACAGGACTAGAAAAGGTCAGTTTTCATTCCAATCCCAAAGAAAGGTAATACCAAAGAATGCTCAAACTACCACACAATTGCACTCATCTCACATGCTAGTAAAGTAATGCTTAAAATTCTCCAAGTCAGGTTTCAGCAATACGCGAACGGTGAACTTCCAGATGTTCAAGCTGGTTTTAGAAAAGGCAGAGGAACCAGAGATCAAATTCCCAACATCCGCTGGATCATCGAAAAAGCAAGAGAGTTCCAGAAAAACATCTATTTCTGCTTTATGGACTATGCCAAAGCCTTTCACTGTATGGATCACAATAAACTGTGGAAAATTCTGAAAGAGATGGGAGTACCAGACCACCTGACCTGCCTCTTGAGAAACCTATATGCAGGTCAGGAATCAACAGTTAGAACTGGTCATGGAACAGCAGACTGGTTCCAAATAGGAAAAGGAGTACATCAAGGCTGTATATTGTCACCCTGCTTATTTAACTTATATGCAGAGTACATTATGAGAAACACTGGGCTGGAAGAAGCACAAGCTGGAATCAAGATTGCTGGGAGAAATATCAATAGCCTTAGATATGCAGATGACACCACCCTTATGGCAGAAAGTGAAGAGGAACTAAAAAGCCTCTTGATGAAAGTGAAAGAGGAGAGTGAAAAATTTGGCTTAAAACTCAACATTCAGAAAACAAAGATCATGACATCTGGTCCCATCACTTCATGGGAAATAGATGGGGAAACAGTGGAAACAGTGTCAGACTTTATTTTTGGGGGCTCCAAAATCACTGCAGATGGTGATTGCAGCCGTGAAATTAAAAGATGCTTACTCCTTGGAAGGAAAGTTATGACCAACCTAGATAGCATATTAAAAAGCAGAGACATTACTTTGTCAACAAAGTTCAGTTTAGTCAAGGCTATGGTTTTTCCAGTGGTCATGTATGGATGTGAGAGTTGGATTATGAAGAAAGCTGAGCACCAAAGAATTGACGCTTTTGACCTGTGGTGTTGGAGAAGACTCTTGAGAGTCCCTTGGACTGCAAGGAGATCCAACTAGCCCATCCTAAAGGGGATCAGTCCTGGGTGTTCATTGGAAGGACTGATGCTGAAGCTGAAACTCTAGTATTTTGGCCACCTCATGCGAAGAGTTGACTCATTGGAAAAGACCCTGATGCTGGGAGGGATTGGGGGCAGGAGGAGAAGGGGACGACAGAGGATGAGATGGCTGGATGGCATCACCGACTCGATGGGCGTGAGTTTGAGCAAATTCCAGGAGTTGGTGATGGACAGGGAGGCCTGGTGTGCTGTGATTCATGGGGTCGCAAAGAGTCGGACATGACTGAGTGACTGAACTGAACTGAACTGAATGTCCTTTTGCTGCTGCTGTTGTTGTTCTGGGACACTCCATTGCATTCAGTTGTCATGTCTCCTGTCCTGTTCCTCTTAAGAGGGACAGTTTCTCAGACTTCCCTTGTTTTTGATGACCTTGTCAGTTTTGAGGAGTCCTGGTAGGGTATTTTGTAAGATATCCTTCAGTTGTGTCTGCCTGATGTTTTTCTTATAATTAGACTAGAATTCTGTGTTCTGGAGGTAAAGTACCATTTTCATCACATCTTATCAAGGGTGTATTCTACACTCTTGATCTGTCAGCATTTGTGCTGACCCTGATCTCATGGAGGAGGTGATGTTTGTCGGGTCTCTGCATGTGAACTCCCTCTTTCTCCCCTTCCTCACTGACCTCTTAGGAGGGGAGTGCACAGCTCACAGCTGAGGACTGGGGCTTCCTCTTGTTATGCCCGATGTCCGAATCCCCAAGCAGGAAGAGAGAAGGCTTCCAAGACAATGCAACACGCAAAAAAAGGGAAGTTTATTGCTGACTTGAGTCAGGGCTCCTGCCACAACCAACGCAGTGGTGCGGGGTCAGAGAGCCCTGAGCCCACGCTGTTCCCCAAATTTATAGAGTGTGCATAAGCAGTTGGTAGCTGGCTTAAGCGGATTGGTTACATGTTTGCAAAGCAATCTTATTGGCCCAAACCTTCGCGGGCTTTTTTCAAACTTGGGCGTTCGCGGGCTTTTCAGCTTTCCCCTGATAGGTTCCCTCTTTCTTACTAGGCGCATGTTGATTGGCTGGCTCCAAGTGGCCTGATAATCATGTTACCCCGAAAAACCAGGCCTACTCCTAATCTAGGCTGCCTGTCATGGCGTAGCCTCACACCTCTCAGCCTCCTAGAAGGGAGAGTATCTACATAAACTCCATGAAAGATTAGTCTCTTCTCTCCCATTTATTTCTATCACTGTGGATCATTTGTTTACTTTTTTAAATCCCTGGTCCCAAAGCACATACCAGAGTCTGGCATGAGTGAGTTCTCCATCAGGTTTGTTGAGAGAATGATGGTATATGAAGCCAGTGACCTGTGTCCCTTCAAAATTCTTATGCTGAAACCTAAGTTCTAGTACCACAGAATGTGGCTGTATTTGAAAACTGGGCCTTTGGAGAGGTTTTTAGGTCAAATGAGGTCAGAAGCGTGGGTCCTAATCCAGTATGGCAGGTGTCCCCTGTAAGAAGAGGAGGACATAGCAGGCACGTGCTCCCAGAGAAGAGACCGGGTGAGGGTCTGCAA